TTTTCAGACCACAATGTTATAAAACTTGAAGTCAACCACAAGAAAAACTTTGGAAGGACCACAAATATATGGAGGCTAAAGAACATTCTACTAAAGAATGAATGGGTCAACCAGGAAATTAAAGGAGAATTTAAAAAATACATGGAAACAAATGAAAATAAAAACACAACAGTTCAGAAACTTTGGGACGCAACAAAGATGGTCCTAAGAGGGAAGTATATACCAATACAAGCCTTTCTCGAGAAACAAGAAAAGTCTCAAATACACAAATACACAACCTAACCTTACACCTAAAGGAGCTGGAAAAAGAACAGCAATCTTTAAAGATTAAAGCAGAAATCAATGATACAGAAATCAATGAAACTAGGAGCTAGTTCCTTGAAAGACTGAAAGAGGAGAGATCACAACCAATACTAAAGAAATACAAATAATTATAAGAGAATATTATGAGCAATTATATGCCAACAAATTAGGCAATCTGGAAGAAATGGAAGCATTCCTAGAAACATACAAACTACCCCAACTGAAGCAGGAAGAAATAGAAAACCTGAACAGACCCATAACAAGCAAAGAAATTGAATCAATAATCAAAAATCACCCAACAGGGGCGCCTGGGTGGCTCAGTCAGTTAAGCGACTGTCTTTGGCTCAGGTCATGATCCTGGAGTCCCTGGATCGAGTCCCACATCGGGCTCCCTGCTCGGCAGGGAGTCTGCTTCTCCCTCTGACCCTTCCCCCTCTCGTGTGCTTTCTCTCCCTCATTCTCTCTTTCAAAATAAATAAGTAAAATCTTTAAAAAAAACAAAAAAAAAACAAAAATCGCCCAACAAAGAAGAGTCCAGGGCCAGATGGCTTCCCAGGGGAATTCTACCAAACATTTCAAGAAGAATTAAGTCCTCTGAAACTGTTTCAAAAAATAGAAATGGAAGGAAAACTTCCAAACTCATTCTATGAGGCCAGCATTACCTTGATTCCCAAAACCAAAGACCCCGCTAAAAGGAGAATTACAGACCAATATCCCTGATGAACATGGATGCAAAAATTCTCACCAAGATACTAGCTAATAGGATCCAACAGTACATTAAAAGGATTATTCACCATGACCAAGTGGGATTTATTGCTGGGCTGTAGGGGTGGTTCAACATCTGCAAATCAATCAATGTGGTACACCACATTAATAAAAGAAAAGCCAAGAACCATGTGATCTTCTCAATTGATGCAAAAAGCATTGGACAAAATACAGCATCCCTTCTTGATTAAAACTCCCCACAATGTAGGGATAGAGGGAACATACCTCAATATCATAGAAGCCATATACAAAAAACCCACAGTGAATATCATCCTCAATGGGGAAAAACAGAGCTTTTCCCTTAAGGTCAGGAACACGACAGGGATGTTCACTCTCAGCACGTTTGTTCTACATAGTACTGGAAGTCCTAGCCTCAGCGATCAGACAGCAAAAAGATGTAAAAGGCATCCAAATCAGCAAAGAAATCAAACTTTCACTCTTCGCAGATGACATGATACTCTCTATAGAAAACCCAAAAGACCCCACCAAAAAAATTGTGAGAACTGATACAGGAATTCAGCAAAGTCCCAGGATATAAAATCAATGCACAGAAGTCAATTGCATTTCTATACACTAACAATGAAGCAGAAGAAAGAGAAATCAAGGAATTGGTCACATTTATAGTTGCACCAAAACCCAGAAGATACCTAGGAATAAACCTTAAAGAGGTAAAGAATCTGTACTCTGAAAACTTATAGAACACTTATAAATGAAATTGAGGAAGATAGAAAGAAATAGAAAAACATTCCATGCTAATGGATTGGAAGAACAAATATTGTTAAAATGTCTGTGCTACTCAAAGCAATCTACACATTCAATAACAATCTATCAAAATTCCATCAGCATTTTTCACAGAGCTGGAACAAACAATGCTATAATTTGTGTGGAAACAGAAAAGACCACAAGTAGCCCAAGGAATGCTGAAAGAAAAAACCAGAGCTGGGGGCATCACAATTCTGGACTTCAAGCTGTATTACAAAGCTGTCATCATCAAGACAGTATGGTGCTGGCACAAAAACAGACACAGAGATCAGTGGAACAGAATAAAGAACCCAGAAGCGGACCTCAACTCTATGGTAAACTAATCTTCAACAAAGCAGGAAAGAACATCCAATGGAAAAAACAAAAGTCTCTTCAACAAATGGTGTTGGGAAAATTGGACAGCCACATGCAGAAGAATGAAACTCGGCCACTTTCTTACACCATACACAATAATAAAGTCAAAATGGATGAAAGATCTAAATGTGAGATAGGAATCCATCAAAATCCTAGAGGAGAACATAGGCAGCAACCTCTTGACATCAGCCACAGCAACCCTTGCTAGACATGTCTCCAAAGGCAAGGGAAACAAAAGCAAAAATGAACTGTTGGGACTTCATCAGGATAAACAGCTTTTGCACATCAAAGGAAATAGTTGACAACACTAAAAGGCAACCTATGGGATGGGAGAAGATATTTGCAAATGTCTTATCAGATAAAGGGTTAGTATCCAAAATCTATAAAGAACTTATCAAACTCAACACCCATAAAACAAATAATCCAGCCAAGAAATAGGCAAAAGACAAGAACAGATATTTCTCCATACAAATGGCCAACAGACAAATGAAAAAATGCTCAACATCACTCAGCATCAAGGAAAGACAAATCAAAACCTCAATGAGATACCACTTCACACCAGTCAGAATGGATAAAATTAACAACTCAGGAAACAACAGATGTTGCCGAGGATGTGGAGAAAGATACACTGTTGGGAATGCAAAATGGCCCAGCCACTCTGGAGGTTCCTCCAAAAGTTAAAAATAGAGCTACCCTATGACCCAGCAATTGCAGTTATCCAAAGGATAAAAACATAGTGATCAGAAAGAGCACCTGTATACCAATGTTTATAGCAGCAATGTTCACAATAGCCAAACTGTAGAAAGAACAGTGTCCATTGACAGAGGGATGGGATGGATAAAGAAGATATGAGGTATAATATACCATGGAATATTACACAGTCATCAAAAAGAATGAAATCTTGCCATTTGCAATGATGTGGCTGGAACTGTAGGGTATTATGCTAAGGGAAATAGAGAAAAACAAATATATGATTTCACTCATATGTGGAATTTAAAAAACAAAACAGATGAACATAGAGGAAGGAAAGGGAAGGAAAAGGAGGGAGAAGGAAAAATAAAATAAGATGAAAACAGAGGTAGTCAAACCATAAGAAACTTTTTTTTTTTCTTTTTAAAGATTTTATTTATTTGACAGAGAGATAGCGAGAGCAGGAACACAAGCAGGGGGAGTGGGAGAGGGAGAAGCAGGCTTCCTGCCGAGCAGGGAGCCCAATGCGGGACTCGATCCCAGGACCCTGGGATCATGACCTGAGCCAAAGGCAGACGCTTAACAACTGAGCCACCCAGGCGCCCCCGTAAGAAACTCTTAACTGTGGGAAACAGTGTTGTTGAGGGGAGGTGGATGGGTGGATAGGGTAATTGGGTGATGGACATTAAGGAGGGCACTTGATTTAATGAGCACTGGGTCTTATATGCAACTGATGAAAAACTAAATTCTACCCCTGAACGTAGTAATACAGTATGTTAACAAAATTGTATTTAAATAAAAAAAGAAAAAAACATTAAAAAAAAAAAAAAAAACGAAAAGTAAATTTGCTGTAGATACAACAAATATTTTATACCTGCTTTATATCAGAGCCCTATATAAAATCTGAGGGCAAGTAACAAGTATTCCCGTCTCAGTCAGGTTAGGCTGCTATGGCAAAATTCCATATACTGCGTGGCTTAAACTGCAATAGTTTATTTCTCACAGGTCTGGAATATTGAAGTCTGAGATCAAAGTGCCACCAGGTCAGGTTCTTAGTGAGCACTCTCTTGGTTTACAATAGGAAATCTCCTTGTATCCTCACAATGTGAAGGGCAGAGTGAGGAAACAAACTCTTGTCTTAGAAGGACAGGAATCCCATCATGAGGGTTCTACATAGGACCTAATTAGCTCCCAAAGGCCCCACCTACCATTATCACATTGGAGGTTAGGACTTCAGCATATGAATTGGGGACTTAGGGGTGGATATAAACATTCAGTTCATAACAATCACTGATCCTTAGGAAACTTAAATCTGACAAGAAAGAAGAATGTGTATGGACTAAATATAAAACAATGTGGTAATTAACATTCTGAGATCTGGAGGAAAAGAACAATGAAAATCTCCCTGAGTAGTTCAAGGACAAGTACAGTAGTGCCAGGGAAGGGCAGACTGTATCCCAGTAAAGGAGTCCTTTAAACAGGTCCAGGGTTTGCACTCTCAAGGCACAGCCATGTCAGTGGGGGCTAGTGACCAAGACCGGCAGAATCTATTGTATATTTGAAAATATTTGTTGGATTGAAAACTAAAATTGTTAGTAATAATCATCTAACATAATTGCTTTTTTAAAATTCTGGATAATGGAACACTACATCAAAAACTAATGATGTACTGTATGGTGACTAACATAATAAAGTACACACTGGATTTCGAAGATTTAGTACAAAAAAACAAGAAGATAAAATATCTCTATTGTTTCGGGCACCTGGATGGCTCAGTTGGTTAAGCAACTGCCTTCGGCTCAGGTCATGATCCTGGAGTCCCTGGATTGAGTCCTGCATCAGGGCCCCTGCTCGGCGGGGAGTCTGCTTCTCCCTCTGACCCTCCCCCCTCTCATGTGCTCTCTCTCTGTCTCTCACTCTCTCTCTCAAATAAATAAATAAAATCTTTAAAAACAAAACATTGTTTAAAAAAATATCTCTATTGTTTCTATTTATTATATGACGAAAGTATATTCTGGATATTTAGATTAAATACATTAAAATTAATTTAAAAAATTTTTTTAAAAATTTGGATAGTAAGAATAGCTATTAAAGTTAATAGACGTGACTGTGTCTTTGATTTGTAGGTAAACAATTTGCTTCCTCTGCAGCAAAGGGAGATTTGGCTGATGGTGACTGATGTCACCCTGCAGATGCAGGATGAGAATAACTCTGGCCTCCCCAAAACCATGCCAGTCTGTGTGGCCCCCTCATGTGTGTTGAGCCAGGACGTCCTGGAAGCGCTCACCGAGGCGGTCTCTCACAGCTTTCTCTTCAGGGACACTCTCCGAGCCCAGGGTATGCTTTCTTCTTCCTAGCTTTGACCCAGTGGTGACTGATAGATGCCATAAAATGGCATTGTGGCTTTGCCTTACTCTGGAACTGCTGGCCCCTTCATGAAGCCACCTGGGACATGACACATGGAGTGGAAGAGACCCACGGTACCAGCCCTCAGCTTTCAGTGGCCCCTGTCATGGCCACCTGCACAGAACCAGAACCCATGCAGGGCTGACTCTCCCTGTGAAAGATGCCATTGGTTACTCGAGGATTGTCTCTTGGTAGCACACATTACAGGTGCAGAAGCCACTTGAAGCCATTGCCTGGAACATCACTTTTGAAAACAAACAAAAAGCTAGAACATTATAAATACACACTTAGATCAGTTAGCTCTTTTTTGCCAGGAATCAAACTAGAATCCTGCCCAAACTGTATATTTTTACTTTATTTTGTTGAGGTATAATTTGCATACCACAAAATTCACCTCTCTAAAATGAATTTGAATCTAGTTTTGTGTGCTTTCCCCACTTAGTACACTAGTGGCTTTAGCACTTCCTTTCCGTACAGTGCATGTGTCATTGGATACAATGGACGGGCCTCAAAACTGTGTCCTCTGCCCACAGGGGGGTTGGCAAAGGACACTGTCTTTACTGGCAGGAGAACTCACTTTTTTCTTCAGTGCTTCAATAATCTGAAGTGTCTCTGTTGGCAGGTCGGATTGTTTGTGTTGAACGAAGTGTCCTCTTGCTTCAAAAGCCCCTTTCGGGTGTGGACTCCGGTGCTTGCTCCTGTGAACTGACTGGCCCTGTGAAGCTCAATGAACTGGATTCTGTCACTCAGGTCAACTCCGTTTGCAGCGTTCAAGGTGGGTAGTCAATCCTGGTGGAAATGGTATTTATATTTTTTAAAATATCATACTTCATATTCATTTCATTTATTCAACAAGTTTTTTATGTCTGACATGTTCCAAACTTTGGATACCTAAGAAACAAAATCAGAAGAGGTTCTTGCCTTTTAGACTTCTAGTGCATACAGAAGACCTCAATGAGCTGTGCACACAATCAAGTATAGAACGGCAATGTTCCAAGTGCTCCAGGTGCTGATTGCTGGGACCTCACCTTGTCAGGGAGCTCACTGTAGTCTCCTCAAGGACAGCAGCCTTGTGCTGAGATCTGAAGGATAGGAAGTAGCCAATTAGGTGAATGAGTAGGGGCAGGAAGGATATCTGACAGAAAAAGAATAGGACATATAAAGGCTGCTGACAGGGTAGAGTGGGGGAGCACCAGAGTCTGGAAGGGGGCAGGAAAGGCATCTGGATGGATGGAGTGATTAGGCTGAAGGGCCCAACCACTGCCCAAGTCGGTGGCCCTAGCAGGAGTGTACTCTGTCATCAACAGAGAGACGGGTACTCCAGGTTTTGTCTCTGCAGAGTGGAAGGGACAGGGCCTTGGGTGGTAGCAAGTGGGAGGGCAAGCACCAGTCCCAAGATGTGAGACAAGTGATGAAGCAAAGTAAATCTGGAAGTGGGTTTAGTTGGGGGAAACAGACAGGTTGGGTAGTGAATTCAGTACAGAGGGAGCAAGGCGTAGATGGAGGGTGAGAATGTATGTGATGACCTCTGAGATTCTGGCTTAGGCAACAAGGCAATGGTAGAACTGTTCAATGGAGTAGGACATGGTGGAAGAGGCCAGCTTTGAGAGAACAATCTTAGCTCTGTCTTGGAGAGTTTAGGTGTTTTTGATATATCTGAGATGTTTCAGTAGCTGATTTCAGGATCTTAGGGTTCATATATTTTTTAACCAACTTTTTTTTTTTTTAAGATTTTATTTATTTGCAAGAGAGAGAATGAGAGACAGAGAACATGAGAGGGAGGAGGGTCAGAGGGAGAAGCAGACTCCCTGCTGAGCAGGGAGCCCGATGTGGGGCTTGATCCCAGGACCCTGGGATCATGACCTGAGCCGAAGGCAGACGCTTAACAACTGAGCCATCCAGGCACCCCAGCACTTCATTTCTTTTTATGGCTGAATATTTCATTGTATGGTTGCACCACATCTTGTTTTATCCATTCATCACCTGATGGACATTGGGTTGTTTCCACTTTTTGGCTATTGTAAACAGTGCTGCTATGGATATTTATGGACAAGTTTTTATTTGAACAACGTGTTTTCAAATTTTGGGTATGTATCTAGGAGTGGAATTGCTGGGTCATATGGGAAACCCTGTGCTTAGCCTTTTTGAAGAAATGTGTAAGTGTTTTCCAAAGTGGCCATACTGTTGGTGTATCCTTAATATTAAAAGATATTAAGTTAATTTCCAAAAAGCATACAAAAATTCACATTTCCAAAAGTAATTTCTAAGAAGGCCTATTTCCTCCAGCCTTGCCCACTACTAGATTTCTGAATCTTTTTATAATTTTTATGAATAGCAGAACTCTGATCCCATTGTTGTTGCTTTAATTTACATTCCCCTGCCTGCTTGTGAGGTTGAGCACTCATTCATTGTGTTGAGGCCATTTGGATTTTCTTTTCTGTGCATCTTCTTTTAGTGTTAGTACCAAAACATAACTAAGATTGTGATTGTAAATGAGAAATGAGAGCAGTATAGCCTAGTGGTCCTGAAGAAAGCAGACTCTTAACAAGCTACCTGTCATCTGGGTCTTCCATTTTCTCATCTATAACACAGGGCTAATAGAATACATCTTAAAGCATTGTTGAGGATTAAATAAGATAATGCACATGAGACTTTGGGGGCTTGGAGCACTCACAGACTAGTGGAGAAGGATGACATCTCAGTGCTTCTACTTCTACAGACCAGGAGGGCTGGCTGAGGGCAAGAGCCAGTGAGGCAGTAGGTAGGTGGCCTTGGGACTGTTAGGATTTGTCAGACAGAGTGGTGAAGGTCTTCCAGACAGACGAAGACCATATGGAAAACCCATAGAGGTGCCAGGGGCAGTTGTAAAAGCTTTATGTGCTGGAGGAGGCAGGGCCTTCTTGGGATGGAGTTGGCTCTGTCTTGTTCTGCTATTCCCAGAATGCTAAGGAGGTTGTATATCATTTTGTTTTCTTAAATGAAGCAATTCTGTCAGCACCATAGATAGACTATGGTACAAAGCTGGATTTGTTGCTGACAGGCTGTTTGGAACCATGCAGGGAAGGAAGGACTGAGAGTCTGCAGAGGCTAAGTGGACTGTGGGGGTTTCCAAGAATTGGCTCTGCTGGGCCCCTGGGCACAGGCTGTGAGGACAGCACACAGTGCAGACACACGCCCTGCAGCAGCTGCTCTGTGCACCTGTCCTTGTCACTCTGCCCACAACCTGCTACCACTTGCACATCTCACCACCTCCAGAGGCCTCCCTTCCACCTTCATTCTCTTCATTGGCTGCCATCTGTTCTCGTCCCACCCCTCACCTCTCTAAGAGCCCAGGATTGGTCAGGGGCTCAGAAGAGAGAGAAGGGTGTGGGAACAGTCTCCCAGCAGTGTTCTCTGCCCCACATTTGAGAGGGACCACCACCCATCCACACTGCTTAAGCTGCATGGGACCCTGGAGCACCTGGATGGCTCAGTTGGTTGAGCATCTGACTTTTGATTTTGGCTTAGGTTGTGATCTCATGGGTCATGGGATCGAGCCCTGCTTCAGGTTCAGTGCTCAGCATGGAGTCTGCTTAAGATTCTCTCCTTCTGCCCTGCCTCTCTCTCTCTCTCAAATAAATACATCTTAAAAAAAAAAAAAAGCTGTATGGGACCCTGTTATTATAAGACCATAAGAATCACCACCACCCATAGCACCGTATTATGAGAAAATATGTACCTGAAGAGTTTGGCTTCTAAAGGAGGGTTTGAAACCTGACACATTATCCATAGCCAGTGAATGCCACAGAGATGCAAAAAGAGGAAAACGTGTAGATTCTTGTGGGGAAAGAGAAGACCTAATTTTTCTAGTTTCTGAAGAACTTCATATTTTTTAAAAAATAATAATTTATAGGTGGGATTTATAAAATATAAAATTATAACCATTTTAAAAATTGTCCATACTACCCAAAGCAATCTACAGATTTAATGTTTTCTCTGTCTAAATACCACAACATTTTTCACAGAACTAGAACAAACTCTCCAAAATTTTGTGTGGAACCACAAAAGACCCCAAAGAGCCAAATCAGTCTTGATAAAGAAGAACAAAGCTGGAGGTATCACAATCCCAGCTGTAGGTATCTACAAAGCTGTAGTCATTAAAACATACTACTAGCACAAAAGTAGATACATGGATCAAGGGAACAGAATAGAGAGCCCAGAAACAAACTCATGCTTATGTGGTCAGTTAACCTATGACAAAGGAGGCAAGCATACACAGTGGAGAAAGACTCTTTAACAAATGGTGCTGGGAAAACTTTCTTATACACAAAAATAAATTCAAGTGGATTAAAGACCTAAATGTGAGACCTGGAACCATAAAACTCCTAGAAGAAAACATAGGCAATAATTTCTTTGACATTGGCTATAGTAACATTTTTCTAGGTATGTCTTTTCAGGCAAGGGAAACAAAAGGAAAAATAAACTATTGGGACTACACCAAAATAAAAAGCTTTTGCACAGCAAAGGAAACCATTACCAAAATAAAAAGGCAACTTACTGAATGGGAGAAGATATTTGCAAATGATATATCCAATAAAGGGTCAATATCCAAAATATATAAAAAAACCTATATAACTCAATACCAAAAAAACATAATCCAATTAAAAAATGGTCAGAGGACCTGAATAGACATTTTGCCAAAGAAGACATCCTGATGGCCAAAAGCCACATAAAAGATGCTCAACATCACAAATCATCAGGGAAGTGCAAACCAAAACCACAATGAGGTATCACCTTATACTTGTCAGAATGGCTAAAATCAAAAGTACAAGAAATAACAAGTGTCAGTGAGGATGTGGAGAAAAAGGAACCCTCGTGCACTGTTGGTGGGAATGCAAATTAGTGCAGCCACTGTGGAGAACAGTATGGAGAATCCTCAAAAATTTAAAATAAGGGGTGACCAGGTGGCTCAGTCAGTTAAGTGTCCAACTCCTGATTTTGCTCAGTTCATGATCTCAGGGCCATGAGATTGAACCCCATGTCGGGCTCTGTGCTCAGTGGGGAGTCTGCTTGAGATTCTCTCCCTCTCCCTCTGCCCCTCCCCGACTCGTGCACATGCTCTCGCTCTCCCTCTAAAAATAAATAAATAAATCTTTTTAAAAAATTAAAAATAGAATTACCATATGATCCAGTAATTACACTATTGGGCATTTATCCAAAGAAAACAAAAACACTAATTTAAAAAGATATATGCACCCCTATGTTTATTGCAGTATTATTTATAATAGCCAAGATACGGAAGTAACCCAAGTGTCCACTGATAGATGAATGAATAAAGAAGATGTGGTGTATATATATGGAGTAGAATATTACTCAGACATAAAAAATAATGAAATCTTGCCATTTGCAGCAACATGGAAGGACCTAGAGGGTATAATGTTAAGCAAAATAAGTCAGAGAAAGCATATGAGATAGCATATGATTTCACTCATACCTAGGATTTAAAAAACAAAACAAATGAACAAAGAAAAAAAGAGACCAAAAAAACAGACTCTTAAATGCAGAGAATAAACTGGTGGTTGCTAGAGGAGAGGTGGGTAGGGTATAAGTGAAATAGATAGAGGATCAAGAGTACACTTATCTTGATGAGCATTTGGTAACATATAGAATTGTTTTTGTTTTGTTATGTTTTTAAAAGATTTTTATTTATTTGAAAGAGAGTGAGAGAGCACAAGCACAGGGAGGAGCAGAGGGAGAGGGAGAAGCAGACTCCTCACTGAGCAGGGAACCCAATGC